GTGCTTTGCTTAGCTTGTTCTAAGTAGGTGCTTTAGACCACTGAGCCATCTCACCAGCCCGAGAAAACCCCTTTATACACTTATTTCCAACCCCTTTTCTTGTTTTTAGTACTAGGGATCGAACTCAGGGCCCTGAGTTTGCCAGGCAGGCGCTTATGCCGCTGAGCTATGTCCCCGACCCTCCAGGCCCTTTTATTATTATTTTTTTAAATGACATATTCTTTTTTTTTTTAATTTTATTTTTGTGTGTGTGTGGCCAGCTCAGCCCACCAGGGGGCGGGGCTGGCTAGCATGTGGTGCTGGGGGATTGAACCGCGGTCCCTGTGCTTTAGACCACTGAGCCATCTCACCAGCCCCAGGCCCTTTTAAAGTAAGGTGCAGTACCCTACCCTACAAGTGGGAAAAAGGTGACGACTGAAAGATGAACACTACGGGTCTAAATTATTACTTTCCAGACAGGGTCTCGCTCCGCGCTCTCCGCGATCCTCCCGCCTCGGCCTCCCGAGTCACGGTGCGCCACCGCGCCCAGCTAGGGACGCCCCAGAGAAGCGCGCGCCTACCTTTTTTTTGGCCTTGCCCCCAGATTTGTTCACTGGGTCTTTGTCTTTCTTGGCCGACTTTCCGGCATCTTTCTTCTTCTTGTCGTCTTTGGGCGGCTGCGGGAGTGGAGCAACAACGCAGGCAGGTCATAAGGTGGCTCCACGGGAGCACATGGGGACAGGGGTGCCCGTGCTCGCGCCCAGGCCTGTCCGGCGTCCCCGGAGCCCTGCCGTGCGGTGTCGCCTCCCCTGCGCCCCAGGACAGCCTGGGTCTCAAAATACCCCGCCTTAGACCCCCCGCGAAACTTACCATCGCGGAGCCCGGAGAGCAGCGAAGACCACTGCAGGCCCGTCAAGATGTCGGACAGAAAGGAAGCGCCGCTCCTCAGCAGGCCCAGACACCTCCGCCCACGGGAAGTACTTCCGGGTCAAGGGGCGGGGCCCCCGCGGGGAGGTCAGCGGGGCGGCCCTCGGCTCCTCGGCGCGGGCCGGGGAGGGAAAATGCCGCCCCCTAGGCTATTGGATTTTGCCGCTTGCAGTGGAGTATTCATATAGTGCTCGTCTATCACTGAAACACGGAGAAGAATTTACGAAGTCCCCAAGATTGCAGAGCGCCCGGCCCGGGCGGCAGCCCCGACTGCGCAAGCGCAGGGAGGACGCTGACGCCCTGGACGGTCTTCTGACAGCGCTTCCGGGGCGGGGACCCGCAAAAGAGCCCGGATTGAGAGCCGGGCGGCCGCCACAGCGATGGCAATTTTTAGTGTGTTTGTGGTAAACAAAGCTGGCGGCCTGATTTATCACCACGACAGCTACGCGCCGCGGGCTGAGGCTGAGAAAACTTTCAGTTACCCGCTGGATCTGCTGCTCAAGCTGCACGACGAGCGAGTGCTGGTTGCTTTCGGCCAACGGGACGGCATCCGGGGTGGGTTAGGCTCGCGGGCGGGGTCCCGTGCGGGGGCCGGGGGCTGGGGGCCGGGGCGACGGTGCCGAGGTGGGGTCGGTGTGTGCGCGGGCCCCGGGGCCCCTCGGTGGCGTCCTGGGGCTGGAGCCTCGCTGACCCCGGCTTCGCCTCTGCAGTGGGCCACGCAGTGCTGGCTATCAATGGCACGGACGTGAACGGCAAGTACACGTACGACGGGAAAGAGGTGCTGGAGTATCTGGGCAACCCTGCCAACTACCCGGTGTCCATTCGCTTCGGCCGGCCCCGCCTCACCTCCAATGAGAAGCTCATGCTGGCCTCCATGTTCCACTCGTAAGTCCCGTCTCTTCCCACTGCATAGTGGCCTCGCCTGGCTCTAGGCTGGTGGGGTTAGTATGGCTCTTTGGGCTCTTGTGAAGAAGAAAAACTCATCCAGCGTGCTCAGACTTTACTGACAATGCTGATCCTGCCCGAGTTAGTTTCTCCGCTAAGCCTGTTTTGCATCTTCAAAATAAGGCCGTTTGGCCCGAGATCTAGCTCAGTGGAGTAGCGCCTGCTTGGCAAGCGCAAGGTCCCGAGATCGACTCCCAGTACCAACACATACACACACTTAAAATAAGGCAACTGTTGGGGGTTGGGAAGACAGGGCGTGACTGCCAGAGATGAAATATTCTAAAATAATTAGGAAATGCCCTAAAATTAGGGGGATGGCTGCCTGAGTTCTGTATATAGTTAAAAATAATGGATTGTGTACTTTTGTTTTTTGTTTTTTTTGCGGAACCCAGGATTGAACTCTGGCCCTTCTGCTTGCCAGGGAAGCGCTTATTCCACTGAGCCATCTCCCAGCCCCCCTCGGATTGTATACTTTAAATGGATACGTTTGTGGTATGTAAATTGCACCAGTAAACTCATTTTAGAATTGATACTCCGGGGCTGGTGAGATGGCTCAGTGGTCTAAAGCACCTACTTAGAACAAGCTTAGCAAAGCACAGGGACCCCGCCCCCTGGTGGGCTGAGCTGGCCACACACACACACACACACACACACACACACACAAATAAATAAAATTAAAAAAAAAAAAGAATTGATACTCCAAGACTGGACATGGTGGTGCAAGCCTGTAATCCCAGCCCTTGGGAGGCTATAAACAGGCAGATCGCTGAGTCCGATCTAGTAGTGAAACCCTGAACACCCTGTAGACTCTTCCATAAAATACAAATAAATAAGTAAATAGGAATTGATACTCCATATACTCAACAATAAAGCAATTGAAGGGCCTGCCAGATAGCTCAGCGGACTAAAGTGCCTGCTTAGGCAGGCATGGAGACCGGGCATTGTGGCCCCACCCCTGGGCGTGCTGACAGTGATTGAGACTGGGTGTGGTGGCACTCATGCGTTTGAGAGGCTGAAAACTGGAGGATCATGGATCACTAGGAGTCCAATCTGTAGGGAGACCCTGTAGGCCCTATATTAAATACATAAAAATAAATAAATATATACCTTAACCAATAAGGCAATTGAACTAAATGACCTTTTAAATTAAAAGAGTTTTCCTGGGCTAGGGGTATAGCTCAGTGCCACAATACCTGGTGGGCAAGCACAAGGTCCTGAGTTCCATTTCCTGTACAAAAAAAAAAAAAAACAACCCTTTTCCTCATCTCAGCTGTGTGCTGGCCTAGGCTTAGCTGCTAGCGAAGTAAGCATGCACCTGTTTCCCAGAATGGTCATTTTACCAGTTTTTGATGTAAATTGTTTCCCAGTAAAATGTATACAGAAACCAAATGAATTTAAAAGAAATTTTGGGGGCTGGGGAGATAGCTCAGTAGAATAAGCACTTGCCTGGCGAGTGCAGGGTCCTGAGTTCAATCCCCAGTACTGCAAAAAAAGAAAAAAAAAATTGGCACAGCTGCTAGACAATTCATGCTGTCTCCCGTTACTGTACTTGTCTGTAAAATGAACTCCTCAGCTGCGTGTGGTGGTGCCTGCCTTTGATCCCAGCACTTTGGAAGACTGAGGCAGGATGTTGGCTAGTTCAAGCCCAGCCTGGGCCATTTAGTGACTTAGCAAGAGACCCTGTCTACAAATGGATGAATAGAAAATGGGCTGGGTTTAAGCTCCAGTACTACAAAAATAAATGAATGTACTCAGCCAATAAGATGACTTCAGTGAAAAAGTTTGAGAAGCACTGTACCTTTTCGGTGCTGGGGTGCTTTCCCAGCTTTGCCTCCTTTGTATTTTAGGCTCTTTGCCATTGGCTCCCAGCTGTCTCCTGAACAGGGAAGCTCTGGTATTGAGATGCTGGAGACAGACACATTCAAACTGCACTGCTTCCAGACACTGACAGGTACGCCTCCAGCTGGGCCACGGGGCTAGAGGGAGCAGGCTGGCCCGAGGACTAAAGACAGCTTGGGGGCGGGGGGCAAGGTTGGGGCAGCGTCTGGTTTTCCCAGAACAGTTATATAGACACATCTATTGTTTGCTTTGAGAACCCAAAACCAATATTTAATCTGAAGCTCATCCACGTCACCCAGCATGTTCAGCCCTGGTTATCCTGAGTTCAGATAAAACTCAAGTGCTAATGTTGCACACATGTTCCAAAATGAAATTTAAAAGGCCAAACAAAAATGACCCTTGGGTAATTCCAGCACTTGGGAGGTTGAGACAGGATTATAGCAAGTGTGAGGCCAGCCTGTATGTCTAGCAAGACTGTCTCAAAAAAAAAAAAAAAAAAAAAAGGGCTGGGGAGATGGCTCATTGGAATAAGTGCTTCCCTGGCAAGCCCAAGGCCCTGAGTTCAATCCCCGGTTCTGCAAAAAAAAGAAAGAAATAGGTTTGAAATATGAAAATAGCATTTGGGGGCCGGGGAGATGGCTCAGTAGAATAAGTGCTTCCCTGGCAAGCGCAAGGGCCTGAGTTCGGTCCCCGGTTCCGGTTCCGGAAAAAAAGCTTTTGTATTGCATTATTTCAGCTCCCCTGAATGTAGATAAAGCTGCCTGAGTGTTCTGTGTTTGCACTGTTGCTGCTGAAGGGCTCCAAGTGTGGGAGTAAATGGCAGACCTCAAAGCCTAGTCTCTCAGTCACCCTGATGAAATAAAAGTCCCTTCATTTGTCTGGTCCCTTCTGTTGAAATTTTGCTTTTTCTTTATGTAGCAGTATGGATAAAAATGGGCTTGATAGTGCTTTACAAAGCTGAAAATACTGTAAAAATACAGGATGGCACTATTTAATGGCACCTTTCCTCACCAGTTTGTGGCCTCTTTCCAGGGATCAAGTTTGTGGTGCTGGCAGATCCTAGGCAAGCTGGAATCGATTCTCTTCTCCGAAAAATTTATGAGATTTACTCAGATTTTGCCCTCAAGAATCCATTCTACTCTTTGGAAATGCCCATCAGGTAGGTGGCTCTGCTCCCCAGATACTGTTCAAAGCCTTGTGCCCTCCCCTAAAAGTGTTTTTGTTTGTTTTTTGGTTTTTTTGGTACTGGGAATCAAACTCAGGACCTTGCACTTGCCAGGCAGGAGCTGTGCTGCTGAGCTGTGTCCCTGGTCACAAAAGTCATTTGTGGTATAGCAGAATATTGCTGTTGCGTAAGGCAACAGTGACTAGCCCTTCTTTTTTTTTTTTTTTAATGTATTTGGCACAGGGTCTCACTACATAGATTGGATTTATAGTGAGTCTCCTGTTTTCAATCTCCCAAGCGCTGGGATTACAGGCATGCCACACCACGCAGGGGATCAAACCACAGCTACTGCGCTTTGCCTAAGCAGACACTTTATAGTCTGCTGAGCTATCTGGCCGGCCCTTTATTTTTTTAATTTTTGAGACAGAGTCTATGTTGTCCTGGCTGGCCTTGAACTCAGAGTGATCCTCCTGCCTCAGTCTACAAGTGCTGATTGCTGGAGTTGTGTCACCACACGCACCCAGCCCTCGATTTATTCAGAGAATTTACAAAGACTTCTCTTGGAGTTTATGTCCTTCACGTGGTGTTTCCACTGACCCTGACTATATACAAAGTGGGAAGAGAGCCTCACGCCTTACAGTTTTTTTTGTGTGTGTCTCCTTGGTCTGGCCTAGGTGTGAGCTGTTTGACCAAAACCTGAAGCTAGCTCTGGAAGTAGCAGAAAAGGCTGGGACGTTTGGACCAGGGTCATAAGCTAAACCTGCATTGGACTTCCAAAGCGAGGTCAGTCTTATAGCAGAGGCGCTGCTATTTCTCCTCCCGCCAGCAGCCTTGCTAGTGTACTTGAAATGGAGAACGCAGAGTCTGGTGACACATACTGATCCCTGAGCCTTAACTCTGTGCTCTCCCTTTTATATATATCGTGGTCCTACTTCCCAACTCTGTACAGATTTATTTATGGAGGCAGTAGGCCCATAAGTGCTGTAATAAACATTCCTTTGACCCAGTGTTTCTTGATGGTTTTTAAGGGCATGGGAGAGACAAATGGTATGGAAACTCTGAGAAGCTCAACACTCTGTTGCAATAGAAAGCGAAGCAAGTATGTTCACTGAGTGAATGAATATAATATCTGAATCAGGTATCGGACGTCATCCCAGATCTGCTGCTTTCCTGGGTTGAGGTGGCAGTGGTGATAGAGAGGGAACATTTGCCAAGGACCTAATCATTTTCATCTACCCTCAGAGTCATTCTTCTGGAGGAGTTAGCAGGTATATGCTATGCCCCAGTCTCCAGGCTAGTTACCAAAAGCCTGAATTTGTGTTCATGGGTTTTTTGTTTGTTTGTTTGTTTTTGTTTTTTAGACTGGGTCTCGCTAGGTAGTTTAGGCTGGCTTTGAACTCACTGTATAGCTCAGGCTGGCCTTTAACTCTCAGCAATCCTCCTTCCTCAGTCTCCCTAGCATGAGTAATGGGGTTAGAGGCACGCATTAGCATGCTGAGTACCTGTCCGTGTTTTCTGACCACACAGCCATCTGAGAGTTATTGTACAACTTCCAGCCAAGTTATTTAACCTGGTACATTCCAATAGTTTTGTCTCTATAAAACAGTCATTGCAAGTGTCCAGCTAAAGACAGAGGAGGCCTGAGCTTCGATTTAAGCTCCATCCACGCCTTACTTTCCTATTCCAGGGAAATGTCTACATATTGACAAGATAATTGCCCAAGCAAAACTGTCTCTCCTTATTTTACCCCTCTTGAAAAAAAGACACTTTTTTTTTTTTTTTTTTTTTTTTTTATCAAATCTAGTTTTAATCCTTGTATAAGAGTCATCTTACCCTCCCATTCATTCCCCTCCTATACTCAGGGTGCCAGTGAGAGTTGTGGCCTCCTCTCTTCCCCTGAAGACTCAAGTATTAGCAAAAGTTGTTGCCCACTGCAGAGGGGGCAGAAGTCACAAGTCATTAATGCCCTGAAGTTGCAGGGACAGCCTTAGCTCAGATGGGGATGAGTAAGATGGGGGTAGGACAGTGCTGAGGAGAGACAGAAGGGTAAGGGGACATCCACATTCCAGTTTCCTATTCACTTGGAAATGAACTAATTAGTAGGAAAGAGCTAATGGAATCCAAACACAAAGGTTGTCTTTTAAATAGAGCCCAGGATAGGGAACCAACACCTCATTAGCCACTGATAACTTTCAGTGCCACCTTGGTGAAGGACAAGGTACACAGATGGAACATGAAGAAAGGCAGTGCCCAGCCTTTCTGCACCCGACTGCAGGGCAGCCACAGCGGAGAGCGTGCTCCAGAGCCAGCACTCTTCACTCTGCCTTCTTGGGCACTCGCCCCATCTTGGTGCGAATGTTTCGGAGCAGGAAGAAACCAGCTGTGCTGGCTGCACAAATCATTTCTGCCACCCAGAAGGCTGTGCTCCAACTGTAGTGCTTGGCGATGGTGCTGAAAGGCAGCCCGGCCAGGAAGCCACCCACTGTCAGGGAGGAGGGAAGAGCCTGAATCCTTGTGAGGGAAAAACAGGTGGGCAGGCTCTTGCCTCCTGCAGGGAAGAGAGAGAGCAAGGCTGGATGCTCTAGGAAGTACCACTTACCATTGGCCATTAATCCTACGATGGCATGAGAGGTGCCGCATAAGTTGGAAGGCGCGCTTTCATTGGCTATGACTCCAAACAAGGCAATGGGACCATAAGAGGAGAAACCAAACACAGCACCTAGTACCAGGATCCAGATCTGCAAGGGCAGGCCAGAGTGGCTTAGAGTCAGAAAGCCTCCTCCACACCTGCGTGCCTCAAGCACTCGGCTCCCAGAGAAAATAGTAATGAAAAGCCAGTAAGCAACCCTCCGCACCCCTCTCCCTGGTGTAACTGAGAGTAGAGAGCCAGAATGGCTGGTGGGTGCAGCCCTGAGCCAACCCAAGGGTAGACAGGCAGGGAGGGAAGCCATCCCCCCTTCAGATGCTATTTGAGAATTTACACAAGCTGGATTAGGTAGGGGGTCAGGATAAAGATGTGAAAGACACGGAAAAAACATTATCTTTAAGGCACCTCATGTTCTGTAAAGCCTGTGAGCTCAGCGAGAGGGTGAAGAGCCGGAGTCCAGAAAGCATCTTCCTAGAGAAGCAGAGAGAAGAGAAGAAAAGCAGGCCCACAGTGGAGGAGAGGAACTGAAATACAAAGAAGAACTGAGGTGCAAACAGAACTGAAAATGGAAATCAGAGGCAGAGAAAGGACTGGCCCAGGCAGGAACAGGGAGATGGCGACAGTTACTGGCCCTGGTTTTCCTTGTACTCTGCGGTGGCCCAGGCTGCCCGTATTTACCTTGGGGGAGTCGCTGGTCACTGTTACCCGGAAGAGGTACATGGATGCAGTCATGCCAGCCATCATGGACAGCAGGAGGCCATGACGAGGGTTCCCATAGACAGACAGCCCCGCCTACACGTAAAGGCCCAGGGATCAGGCGCCCACTCTGGACTCTGGCACAGATCTTTAGCAATCCCATTACAGTTCTTGGCTCCAGACAGTTCTGGGTGGCCCTGAGAGCTACTCACGTCCTAAGGCCAAATTCCATATGTTCCCTCCCCCTTCACAGGCCTGAGACACGTGCTGGGGAGCTGCACCCAGGCTACCACCACCCCCAGTTTTCCTGGAGCAGTGGAGAAGTCTATAGCTAGGCTGAGAGAAATCTTCCCTCAGCTCTGTTAAAACTGTCTCTCCAACAGCCTTATCTCCACATCCCCAGGGAAGATAACAGTAGCACATGCCGCCAGGCCGTGTCCTGTGTCTGCTAAGCCACCTGGAAGACCCAAAGGGACTCCTCCTGCCCACTCACCTTTGCCATGGCCCGGTCTGACAAGTAGCCAGCTGCAATGCTGCCGACAAGACCCCCAACTTCCAGGGCACTCATGTAGGAGCTACCTGCAGTAGGGAGTTGTGGGAAAGGTACAGTAGAAGGTGTTACGCGTTAGGGCTATCTCACAACTGCTTAAAGCTTATGGAGTTACAGAGACCCTAAGGGTGACCAGCCATAGTACTTGAGGAGTGCCTAGCCTAAGAGAAAAATAAACGGGACAGAAGGAACAAAGGCTTGGATTTTTCATCTGCTTTGGTTCCTGCTTTTATGCCCTGGTAGTCATCTTACCCACAAGGGCAGACTGTCCCCGCTCCTGGATAAGGAAGAACTGGCCCCAATCTGTGCAGCAAGTCTTCACTCCAAACACCACAAGGTAGCCAGTAGAGAGCACCCACAGGTAGGGGGACAGTAGCAGCTCCTGTAGGGTACTGTCCTCTTTTGAGGAACCTGGAAGTGGGATGAGAACAAGCTTCAGGCTCTGCTCTTGCCACCCTGCCCGGTACCACTCATTAACCAGCCACAGGGACAGGGTCCATGGGCATAGCCAGGTGCAGTTGAAGTCTACCCCTCATGCCCCCAGTGCAAGTCTCAGTAAATGAAGGAGAAACAGAACTAGGGCAAATGGAGAAAGGCACCCAAACCACATAGGACGTGCTGTAGAACAGGAAGTCTATTTCAAGGCAGGATAGACTATAACATGAGTCACAGCACCCACTGGTCTGTCTTGGGATGCAGTTTTATTTACTCCCCACACACCTTCCATGGCTGCCCCTTCCCTATATCCTTTGGCTAGCACAGGACAAAGTGTAAGTGTAGTCCAGGTGGCTAGCCTGGCTGGCAGCTCACCCTTCTTGCCCTTGGAGGGAGTAGGGTCCAGGTTGCGTAGTCCAACATCAGCAGGTTCATTGTGAATGAGGAGGAGACAGAGGAAGGAGACAGCCACACACAGTGCCCCAGACAGGGCCAGTGTGCTGCGCCAGCTGTAGCTCTGGGCAAGGATGGTGGCCAGGATTGGGCCCAGCCCTCCAGCCAGGTTCATGCTGGTTGACAGAATGGCCCACCAGGTGCCAAACTGAGACGGTTCAAACCACTGTGAGGCAGAAGGGGAGAGTGGGTGCCAGGCCACCAGCCCAAGCCCACGTTGAGGGTTGGGTTTATATTGGGGAGATTCAGAAGCTCACATTACAGGACTGAGGATGCTTATACTTGGAAGAGCCAATTCCCTCATCTGCCACCTGATCCCACCTCCTAAAATATCTTGACAAGCAATAGGAGCTGGCTAGGAACTCCTGAGGAGCCAGTTGTGGGGGTCAGAAAGGGTGCTCCCACATGCACACTAGGTGCCTCCTATGCCGGCGATGGCAAGCCTATGGCACGCATGCCACAGCAGGCTGTTTACATCATTGAAAGCTCTAAAAAGTTTGCCATCACTGCTCTGTGCCAACCCAGCAGGCTTGTTGGAAGCACTTACCTTCCGTAGGATCTTCCCACAAGGGGGCCAGCCCAGCCCCTGTGCCAGGCCATTAAGGAACCAAAGAGCAGCAAAGACAGGTACTGTGGAGCTCCAGGAAAAGACTACATTGACCAGGCCAACCAGGAGCAGCCCAGAGGAGAAGAGCCAGCGAGCACTCATCTGGTCAGACAGCACCCCGCTCACAAACTTGCTGATGGCGTAGGCTGCCGACTGGCTGCTGGTGATGAGTCCTGAGGGGAGCAGGGAGCAGGACACCTGGGGGGTTAGGGGCAGGGCAGAGGCACAGGAGGGGTGGAGGAAGGCATGGGGTCAGGTGTGTGGAGCTGCCCGGCAGGGTACGACAGGTTGCTTCCTCGAGGAACAAGAGCCTGAACTGCAGTGGCAGCCACTGCTCCTTCCCACCCCACTGGCCACAGGCTGGCTTCAGATTTCTCCCCTGCCAGAGTCCAGCTGCAGCTTCCCTCTGGCAGGTGCATGCACCTGAGCTTTCCCCTCACCCTGGATGCCAGTCTGAGGCATCAGGCAGTTTTGTTCCCCACCTCTGAACATGGGCAGAGGGTATGGATGGGCTTCAGGACTGGATGGGGATCTTGTTCCTCCTAAAGAACAGCATGCCAGGCCACACAAAACCACTCACTTGCCAATGCTCCCTGAGTCAGCAGCCAGCACTGCCCTGCAGCCTCAGCATGCACACACTGTGGAGGAACCTTGCCCAGAGCCCCCAAAACATCATAAACACTGCCTGTGCAGGCTGAGGTCCACACCAGATAAGCACCCTCCTCAGTTTTTGGCCCATACCAGTGGGCACACACTGATTGCCCAGCTCTGCTCCATGCACACTGCATGCCTGTGCACACTGCAGTGCCACACTTAGTGTGGCCTGTGTGTTCTGGGTCCCAGGATCCGCCACCCTGCCCTTCAGGGCTCACCCAAATCATCCTTGTCCAAAGAGATCTCTTCCACCAATGCCGGCATGACAAAGGAGAAGGTCTTGCGGTTGAAGTAGTACAGGCTGTAGCCACCAAACATGGCTGAGAAGATCACAGTGCGGTAATAGCCGTAGCCTTGGCCCGCCATGGTAGAAAAGAGCAGGTCTTGCCAGGCAGGACGCACAGCTTCTGACCAGGCTCCTGCTTTCCTGGCCACTCTCGGCGCTCAAATCTGCTGAGTTGCTTTTTTCCCCTGCTCCCTCCTCCACTCAGCCTCCTAGGCTCCCTTTATAGCTGCCTTCTGGACAATTATTAAGCCTGGGGCCGCTCCTAGGGAACCCAGTGTCCTGAGGGAGACAAGAAAACAGATTACTGACAGCCAAACTGCAGGGGTGGGGGCGCTCCCTGACGGCAGGCCAGCCTGGTCAGCACCCTATGTACCCAGGATTTCTGCCTTTCCCTCCCTTTTCACTTTGCCTGCCTGGGAAACCAGCTGTGATTAAAAGCTCAACCTAATTAATAATTACTTTCATTTGCATGAGCCCAGGGGAGACAGGAGTGGGCTGAACAGAGCTGTCCTCTTTATGCAGCCCTACTCCCTCAGTTGCCAAACTTCCTTCATGCAGGGAAGGCTACAGAGGGCTTCCTGGTTGCCAGGCACTGCAGTAAGCACCAGATCCGCCTCTACACACCTCTGTCCCTCTTTCAGTTAGACATGATACCCCAGCATGCACATCTCCAAGCCTTCCAGAGCTGACCTCACCCAATGCCTGGCACATAACGGGGCTGGTATGGCAGTGCCGCCTTATCCTTGGGGGCTCACCCCACCCCTCTCAGGATAGTAACCTAGGTATGTCGATGATTTTTTTTTTAATTATACATACCTACAGTAAAGGTTGCAAATTAGGCATAGTAAGCGATTTACAACGATAATAATATGCTTCAAATTTATAGATTATTTCTGAAATTTTCCATTTCATATTTTACCACTTCACTTGACCTCAGTAACTTGCATCGAACCGTGGATGGGGGGGGGGCTCCTGTAGTTACACAATGAGAAGCAGGGAGAAGCCCCCCTTGTTCGCTCCAGTGTCACGCGGAAAGCTCCACGCGGGGCTGAGGTCTCGATGGGGCACCTCAGAGCTGCCTCCGGGTCCCCATTACCCGGCGAGATGTCAGAGCGGGCTTCCGTCTGCAGGGGCCCGGGTCCGCCGAGCGCGGGAGACGCCCCGCTTCCCAGGCCCGCAGCGCGCTGGCCTTTCCGCTCGGCCAGGCGGCAAATGGAGCAGAAAGCGCGGGCGGCCCGGCGCACGTAGGCGCCCTGGCAGAGGAGCCCGCGGCGAGGACGCGGAGGGCAGCTGGCCAGCGCGTGTCCTCAGGACACCCAGGACACCCGACTCCGGGGCGGGGACCGCAGGTCTGCGCGGATTAAAGGGAGTGTCAGCGCCTCTACATCGCCCCCGGCCCAGGAACTGCCCTCACCCCGGAAGGGGCAGAGGCAGAAACAGTCCCGGGTTCTACCGGAAGTTGGGCTTCCCCGACAGCGTAGCCAACGCACCTGTGACTCCCAGCCCAGTTCTCCCTTGACGCCCTTCCACAGCCCGCCTCCCCTACCTGGACCGAGGGGGAAACCCAACTAAGATAGGGCGGGGCCAGGCCGGTTGGCGCTGCGCATGCGCCGGCGATGGGGGCGGGTTTCCCCTTGGACCGCCCCACCACCCGGAGGCGGTCTTCCTCTAGGACCTTGGTGTTGGTCCTGCAGGTCGCGAGGCTCCTAGCGCGCGGGTAGCGCCTCCTAGGGGTTGAGTGACATAGGTTCACTTTTCTTTTGATAACATATTCTTGCTATGTAGTTCTGATTGGCCTTGAACTCACACTATGTAGCCCAGGGAGCCCTCGACTTTGAAGAGATCCTCCTTGCTTCAGCTTCTCGAGTAGTGGGAGTAGGAGCGTGCACCACCATGCCCTGCTAGGGCCTCTTCTTAACCGACTGCATTCGACAAGTCAGTTTCTAGTGAGTGCTTCCCACTACCAAATACACAGGGAATAAATACGACCATAATGATCATTGTTCCCAAGTTGCTCACAGCCTGGGAAAAGTCTTGTAGGAGCGCAATATTTCCTATACATAATGAATGCATTGCTCAACACAATTTGATTTTTTTTTTTTGGCAGAACCAGGGATTGAATTCAGACCCTTGCACTTGCCAGGGAACCCCTTATTCTACTGAGCCATCTCCCTGGCCCCTCACAATTTGAAATGTTAACCTGTAGTCAGACTGTTTTTGGCAGAGATAATAAAGACATAGTGTTTATTTATTTATCTATATTTTATTGTAACGGGGAACTGAATTCAGGACCGTATGCTTGCCAGGCTGGCACTGTGCTGCTGAACTATATCCTCAGTCCCCATAGTGTTTAAAGGAAGGCCCCGAGTAAACTTCAAATCACGAACCCCTATGTAATTGTTTTTCTCCATCTGATCCTGGGGATCAAACATGCACGCTCTACAGCTGAGCTACATTCCCAGCCACTCTGTTTTTCATTTTGACACAGGGTTTAAGTTGCCCAGGTTAGCTTGAAACTTGTGGTCCTCCTGTCTCAGCCTCCTGAATAGCCATAGGCCACTATGTCTGACTTCTGAATCCACTTCGATCTGTGAGCCTATTTTTATTTTTGCTAATCTCATAGTTTGCTGTAAGGATTTAACAGACGATACAAAGGACAGCTCAGAAAATTTTATTTATTTATTTATTTATTTATTTATTTTTCAGTACCTGGGATTGAACTCAGGATCTTGTCAGGCAAGTGCTTATTCTGCTGAGCTATCTCCCTGTCCCTCAAAAAATTTATGTTAGGGGCTGGAGAGATGGCTCAGTGGTCTAAAGCACCTACTTGGAACAAGCTTGGCAAAGCACAGGGACCGCGGTTCAATCCTCCAGCACCACATGCCAGCCAGCCCCGCCCCCTAGTGGGCTGAGCTGGCCACACACACACACACACACAATAAATAAATGTAATAAATAAAATAAATAGGGCTGGAGAGATGGCTCAGTGGTCTAAA